GACTTCAAGCAATTCTCCTGCCTCGGCCTCCCAAAGTGCTGGGATTGCAGGTGTGAACTGTTGCACCAGGTTACCAGTGTTTTTTTTTTTTTTTTTTGACAGAGTCTTGCTGTGTTGCCTAGGGTGTAGTGGAGTGTCACCATCTCCGCTCACTGCAACCTCTGCCTCCTGGCTTCAGGCGATTTTCCTGCCTCAGCCTTCTGAGTAGCTGGGATTATAGGCGTGCGCCACCACACCTGGCTAATTTTTTGTATTTTTAGTAGAGATGGGGTTTCACCGCGTTGGCCAGGCTGGTCTTGAACTCCTGACCTCAGGTGATCCACCTGCCTTGGCCTCCCAAAGTGTTGGAATTACAGGCGTGAGCCACTGCACAGGGCCATGTATTGATTTATGACTTTACCTGTAACTTCCGCCTCTCTGCCTTTGAAAACCCTTACCTGCAAGCCACTGGGGAGTTCAGGTCTTACACTTGAGCTGGCTGATTCTCCTTGCTTGGCACCCTGCAATAAATGCCTCAGTTTCTCTCACCGGAATCCAGACATCAGTGTTTGCAGCACCCGGTGGGCGGACCCAAGTTCGATGAGGTAACAGACGTCCAGTGGGGGTGCTGTCATCCCGCGGAGGTTTTCCTCCATAATAAAAGGCAGGAATTGGCCGGGTGCCGTGGCTCACGCCTGTAATCCCAGCACTTTGGGAGGCCGAGGCGGGTGGATCACCTGAGGTCAGGAGTTCAAGACCACTCTGGCCAGCATGATGAAACCCCGTCTTTACTAAAAATACAAAAAATTAGCTGGGTGTGGTGGCGGGCGCCTGTAATCCCAGCTACTCGGGAGGCTGAGGCAGGAGAATTGCTTGAACCTGGGAGGAGGCGGAGGTTGCAGTGAGCCGAGATTGCGCTACTACACTCCAGCCTGGGCAACAGGGTGAGACTCCATCTCAAAAACAAAAACAAAAACAAAACAACAAAAAACCGAACCAAAACAAACACATAAACAAACAAAATCATAGGGCGACTCTCTACAAGGTGTTTTACTGCTAGAAGATCATGCTCCTCATTTCCCAAAGACTCACAGAGAACAGAAGACTGGTTGCATGAGAAGTGAATAACAAGAAGTTATAGTGCTTATTTGGGGTGGGGGCGAACATGACATTTCAATATTAACTTGTTTTTTTAATTTAATTTTCTTGGTTATACATCATTGCTGGTATATGTACTTTATTTTATTTTTAGAGATGGAGTCTCGCTATGTTGACCAGGTTGGTCTTGAACTCCTGGCATCAAGCCATTCACCCATCTTGGCCTCCCAAAGTGTTGGGATTACAGGTGTGAGCCACTGTGCCCAGCCTAACTTGTTTTTTTTTTCCTTTGGTCTAGCAAGGGCTTGTGAGTGTGTCTGGGAACAACGTAAAATCTGGCTTGAAGAAAACCCACTCAACTCAAAGCCCCAAAACAGAGCTGAGATGCTTTTGACGGAGAGAGCCTCATTGGTCTCCTTGTTGGAGAGGCCCCAACTTATCGATAAATATTAGTTAACATCTCTCATCCAGTAGGACTAAACATAGAACCAGTTGCCCTTGCACAGAAGGCCGTGTATTGTATTATTCAACCTCGATGGAATGACCAGAAAAGGCAAAACTATAGAGAGAAAAAGTCGATTAAGGCCAGGTGCTGTGTCTCACCCCTGTAATCCTAGCACTTTGGGAGGCCAAAGTGGGTGGATCACCTGAGGTCACCAGCCTGGCCAACATGTTGAAACCCCATCTCTACTAAAAATACAGAAATTAGCCTGGCATAGTGGTGTGCGCCTGTAATCCCAGCTACTTGGGAGACTGAGGCAGGAGAATCGCTTGAACCTAGGAGGCGGGAGGCGGGGGTTATAGTGAGCCGAGATGGCACTACTGCACTCCAGCCTGGGCGACAGAGCAAGAAAAATAAATAAATGAATAAAAAATTGCTAAGATTGTTATTAAATCCGGGGGAGAGCCTTTCATTATGCTAGCAGGATCATAGTGTCCTCTGGTGGCAATAACACGCAACTGCAACTGAGTTGCCTGTGCAGAAAAATCTTTCCTGCATCCTGAAAGCTGCTTTCTGTTCTATTAGTTTAAGAAGGAAATCTGACACTGATCCGCACAGTGTGTTTTACGATCCTGCCCATCAAGATTAAATGATCAAGGATCTAGAGTAGCCCAGTGCTCCCAGAGCAAGTGCCTGAGCCTAGGAGGCTTCTGAACGGAGTCTCTGTCACCCAGGCTGGAGTGCAGTGGTGCGATCTTGGCTCACTGCAAGCTCTGCCTCCCCGGTTCAAGCGATTCTCCTGTCTCAGCTTCCTAAGGGGTTGGGATTATAGGCGCTCTGCACCATGCCTGTACTTTTTTGTATTTTTAGTAGAGATGGAGTTTCACCATGGTGGCCAGACCCGTCTCAAACACCTGACCTCAGGTGATCTGCCTGCCTCGACCTCCCAAAGTGCTGGGATTACAGCGTGAGCAACCGCGCCTGGCCGAACAACAGGATTTTAAGCCTGAACTCAGAGGCAGCGCAGACTGGGGATCTGCACTGGGAAGTCATCTGCAAGGACGTGGTGGCTGGAGCTACAGATAGAGGGAAAGTTATCCAGGGAGAGTGAGGGTGTGGGACAGGGAGAGAGAGAGACCGCAACACAGTCCTAAGGAACACCAGCATTTTTTTTTTTTGAGACAGAGTCACCGAGGCTGGAGTGCAGTGGCACCATCTTGGCTCTTTGCAACCTCCACCTCCCAGGTTCAAGCAATTCTCCTGCCTCAGTCTCTCAGGTAGCTGGGATTACGGATACCCACCACCATGCCCAGCTAGTTTTTGTACTTTTAGTAGACACGGGGTTTCACTACGTTGGCCAGGCTGGTCTTGAACTCCTGACCTCAAGCGATCCACCTGCCTAGGCCTCCCGAAATGCTGGGATTACAGACGTGAGTCACTGCATCTGGCCCAGTTAGTGCTTTCTATGAGAGCAATTTCTCCAAAGTTTTCAACTTGACATAATCAACATAACCATCCTGTGTATTAGGGGATGGCAGGTCATTCACTCCTTCAGCTCTTTTGGTTAACCGGTACCTCGACTTGGCTATATCCACAGGTCGGGGAGGTCAGGAGATGTCACCCCTAGTCTCTGGGGCTGTAGGGCACATGGTCTCTGAAATGGAACAAGGCTGACCAGGCCGATGGATGGCTCACAGTGTCTGCTGGAGGTTCCTTTTGCTGCTCAGGGCGAGGGCATGGCTGGAGGAAGAGGCCCCACCCAGGAAGTTCTGCAGGGGCTTACACAGTCTTCCCAGACCCAGAAGCACAATCTCCAAAAGAGTGAACAAGAGACGGAACCCACTGACTCTAAAAATGGCTTTTAGAAAGATGATCTTCTCCGAGGGGCGGGAAAAGGTGCAGGTTAATCTATACGGGCAAGGCTCTTGGCCACATGCAAAGGAACTGGGCATCTGGAACCCATACAGGTGGTACTGCAACCCTGGTGCTGTCCCCTCCAGGACCAGCTGAGCTCCCAGCTGAGCCACGTAAGCCCAGAGCAGCGTGAGGCTTCCAGCCCCTGGGGTATCTCTGCTGCTCTCCCCTCCCTGGATCAGGGTATCCTCTTCCTCCTTCCCCTTTCCTGATAATTCCCAGTGCCAGATCACGTGATACAGAGTGAAACCCCTGTAGAGGACGCTGGGTACAGCCACCAAGATGACCTGGAAGACCCAGAAACGCAGCGGGGAGAGGGGGTGGAAGGCATCAAAGCAGGCAGCCTTGCAGCCCGGCTGCTGGGTGTGACACCCAAATTCACTCTGCTCATCGCCATAGACTCCAGGCCCACTGGCAGCCAGCAGCACAAGGCGGAATCCCAGGAGCTGGGGAAGCAGGAGGCGACCCCCGGCGGGGCGGGGGGAGTGCCAGCTCTTCACCAGCAGCCGCCGCAGGAACCTGCTACACATCCTGTTAGGGAGCTTTAAAAAAAGGTGATTATACGTTATTGATTTTTTGTTTTTAAAGACCTCTGTTGCCCCAGGCTGGAGTGCAATGGTGTGATCATAGCTCACTGCAGCTTCCAACTCTTGGGCTCAAGCAATTGTCCTGTCTCAGGTTCCTGAGTAGCTGGGACTACAGGTGCATGACACCACGCCCAGCTAAGTTTTAATGTTTTTATAGATACGGGGTCTTGCTATGTTTCCCAGTCTGGTCTCAAACTCCTGACTTCAAGCAATTCTCCTGCCTCGGCCTCCCAAAGTGCTGGGATTGCAGGTGTGAACTGTTGCACCAGGTTACCAGTGTTTTTTTTTTTTTTTT